GACATTTCAATGTTTCCCCTTAAACCACTCGAGTGTTGCTTTAGCAGTACGCTTAGGGTCATTGTCCTGCTGGAAGGTGAACCTCTGTCCCAGTCTCAAAATTCTGGAAGACTGAAACAGGTTTCCTTCAAGAATTTCCCAGTATTTAGCGCCATCCATCATAACTTCAATTCTGAACAGTTTCCCAGTCCCTACCGATGAAAAATATCCCCACAGCATGATGCTGCCACCACCATGCTTCACTGTGGGGATGGTGTTATCTAGGTGATGAGAGGTGTTGGGTTTGCGCCAGACATAGCGTTTTCCTTGATGGCCAAAAAGCTCAATTTTAGTCCCATCTGACCAGTGTACCTTCTTCCATATGTTTGGGGAGTCTCCCACATGCCTTTTGGCGAACACCAAACGTGTTTGCTTATTTATTTCTTCATGCAATGGCTTTTTTCTGGCCACTCTTCTGTAAAGCCCAGCTCTGTGGAGTGTATGGCTTAAAGTGGTCCTATGGACAGATACTCCAATCTCCGCTGTGGAGCATTGCAGCTCCTTCAGGGTTATCTTTGGTCTCTTTGATGCCTCTCTGATTTTTTATTTTATTTTTTTTATTTCACCTTTATTTAACCAGGTAAGCCAGTTGAGAACAGGTTCTCATTTACAACTGCGACCTGGCCAAGATAAAGCATAGTAGTGCAATAAAACAACAACACAGAGTTACATATGGGGTAAAAAAACATAAAGTCAGAAATACAACAGAAAATATATATACAGTGTGTGCAAATGTAGCAAGTTATGGAGGTAAGGCAATAAATAGGCTATAGTGCAGAATAATTACAATAGTATTAACACTGGAATGCTAGATGTGCAAGAAATTATGTGCAAATAGAGATACTGGGGTGCAAATGAGCAAAATAAATAACAATATAGGGATGAGGTAGTTGGGTGGGCTAATTTCAGATGGGCTGTGTACAGGTGCAGTGATCGGTAAGGTGCTCTGACAACTGATGCTTAAAGTTATTGAGGGAGATAAGAGTCTCCAGCTTCAGAGATTTTTGCAATTCGTTCCAGTCATTGGCAGCAGAGAACTGGAAGGAATGGCGGCCAAAGGAGGTGTTGGCTTTGGGAATGACCAGTGAGATATACCTGCTGGAGCGCAGACTACGGGTGGGTGCTGCTATGGTGACCAATGAGCTAAGATAAGGCGGGGATTTGCCTAGCAGTGATTTATAGATGGCCTGGAGCCAGTGGGTTTGACGACGAACATGTAGTGAGGACCAGCCAACAAGAGCGTACAGGTCACAGTGGTGGGTAGTGTATGGGGCTTTGGAGACAAAACGGATGGCACTGTGATAGACTACATCCAATTTGCTGAGTAGAGTGTTGGAGGCTATTTTGTAAATGACATCGCCGAAGTCAAGGATCGGTAGGATAGTCAGTTTTACGAGGGCATGTTTGGCAGCATGAGTGAAGGAGGCTTTGTTGCGAAATAGGAAGCCGATTCTAGATTTAACTTTGGATTGGAGATTCTTTATGTGAGTCTGGAAGTTGAGTTTACAGTCTAACCAGACACCTAGGTATTTGTAGTTGTCCACATACTCTAGGTCAGACCCGTCGAGAGTGGTGATTCTAGTCGGGTGGGCGGGTGCCAGCAGCGTTCGATTGAAAAGCATGCATTTAGTTTTACTAGTGTTTAAGAGCAGTTGGAGGCTACTGAAGGATTGTTGTATGGCATTGAAGCTCGTTTGGAGGTTTGTTAACACAGTGTCCAATGAAGGGCCAGATGTATACAAAATGGTGTCGTCTGCGTAGAGGTGGATCTGAGAGTCACCAGCAGCAAGAGCGACATCATTGATATACACGGAGAAAAGTGTCGGCCCAAGAATTGAACCCTGTGGCACCCCCATAGAGACTGCCATAGGTCCAGACAACAGGCCCTCCGATTTGACACACTGAACTCTATCTGAGAAGTAGTTGGTGAACCAGGCGAGGCAGTCATTTGAGAAACCAAGGCTATTTAGTCTGCCAATAAGAATGCGGTGGTTGACAGAGTCGAAAGCCTTGGCCAGGTCGATGAAGACGGCTGCACAGTACTGTCTATTATCAATCGCGGTTATAATATCGTTTAGGACCTTGAGCGTGGCTGAAGTGCACCCGTGACCAGCTCGGAAACCGGATTGCATAGCGGAGAAGGTACGGTGGTATTCGAAATGGTCAATTATCTGATTGTTAACTTGGCTTTCGAATACTTTCGAAAGGCAGGGCAGGATGGATATAGGTCTGTAGCAATTTGGATCTAGAGTGTCACCCCCTTTGAAGAGGGGGATGACCGCGGCAGCTTTCCAATCTCTGGGGATCTCAGACGTTATGAAAGAGAGGTTGAACAGACTAGTAATAGGGGTAGCGACAATTTCGGCGGCTAGTTTTAGAAAGAAAGGGTCCAGATTGTCTAGCCCAGCTGATTTGTAGGGGTCCAGATTTTGCAGCGCTTTCAAAACATCAGCTGTCTGAATTTGTGTGAAGGAGAAGCGGGGGGGGGCATGGGCAAGTTGCAGCAGAGGGTGCAGAGTTGGTGGCCGGGTTAGTGGTAGCCAGATGGAAAGCATGGCCAGCTGTAGCAAAATGCTTGTTGAAATTCTCGATTATTGTAGATTTATCGGTGGTGATAGTGTTTCCTAGCCTCAGTGCAGTGGGCAGCTGGGAGGAAGTGCTCTTATTCTCCATGGACTTTACAGTGTCCCAAAACCTTTTGGAGTTAGTGCTACAGGATGCAAATTTCTGTTTGAAAAAGTTAGCCTTTGCTTTCCTGACTGCTTGTGTATATTGGTTCCTAACTTCCCTGAAAAGTTGCATATCGCGGGGGCTATTTGATGCTAATGCTGTACGCCACAGGATGTTTTTGTGCTGGTCAAGGGCAGTCAAGTCTGAATGCCCTCCTTGCCTGGTCCATGGGTTTTGGTGGGCGGCCCTCTCTTGGCAGGTTTGTTGTGGTGCCATACTCTTTCCATTTTTTAATAATGGATTTAACGGTGCTCCGTGGGATGTTCAGAGTTTCTGATATATTTTTTTAACTCAACCCTGGTCTGTACTTGGGTCTCAACCCTGGTCTGTCCCTGACCTGTTTGGAGAGCTCCTTGGTCTTCATGGTGCCACATGCTTGGTGGTGCCCCTTGCTTAGTGGTGTTGCAGACTCTGGGGCCTTTCAGAACAGGTGTATATATACTGAGATCATGTGAAAGATCATGTGACACTTAAATTGCACACAGGTGGACTTTATTTAAATAATTATGTGACTTCTGAAGGTAATTGGTTGCACCAGATCTTATTTAGGGGCTTCATAACAAAGGGGGTGAATACATATGCACGTATCACTTTTCCGTTATATATTTTTTATACTTTTTTGAAACAAATTATTTTTTTAATTTCACTTCACCAATTTGGACTATTTTGTGTATGTCCATTACATGAAATCCAAATAAAAATATATTTAAATTACAGGTTGTAATGCAAAAAATAGGAAAAACGCAAAGGGGAATGAATACTTTTGCAAAAAAAAATATATTTGCGATTCTTCAAATAGCCACCCTTGATGACAGCTTTGCACACTCTTGGCATTTTCTCAACCAGCTTCATGAGATAGTCACCTGGAATGCATTTCAATTAACAAGTGTGCCTTGTTAAAAGTTAATTTGTGGAATTTCTTTCCTTCTTAATGTGTTTGAGACAATCAGTTGTGTTGTGACAAGGTAGGGGGGGGGGTATACAGAAGATAGCCCTATTTGGTAAAATACCAAGTCCATATTATGGCAAGAACAGCTCAAATAAGCAAAGAGAAACAACAGTCCATCATTACTTTAAGACATGAAGGTCAGTCAATCCGGAAAATGTCAAGAACTTTTAACGTTTCTTCAAGTGCAGTCACAAAAAACATCAAGTGCTGTGATGAAACTGGCTCTCATGAGGACCACCACAGGAATGGAAGACCCAGAGTTACCTCTGCTGCAGAGGATAAGTTCATTAGAGTTACCATCCTCAGAAATTGCAGCCCAAATAAATGCTTAAAAGAGTTCAAGTAACAGACACATCTCAACAGGAGACTGTGTGAATCAGGCCTTCATGGTCGAATTGCTGTAAAGAAACCACTAATAAAGGACACCAATAATAAGAAGAGACTTGCTTGGGCTAAGAAACACGAGCAATGGACATTAGACCGGTGGAAATTTGTCCTTTGGTCTGGTCCAAATTGGAGATTTTTGGTTCCAACCGCCGTGGCTTTGTGAGACGCGGTGTGGGTGAACGGATGATCTCCACATGTGTATTTCCCACCGTAAAGAATGGAGGAGGAGGTGTTATGGTGTGGGGGTGCTGTCTGTGAATTATTTAGAATTGAAGGCACACTTAACCAGCATGGCTGCCACAGCATTCTGCAGTGATAGCCATCCCATCTGGTTTGGGCTTAGTGGGACTATCATTTGTTTTTCAACAGGACAATGACCCAACAAACATCCAGGCTGTGTAAGGGCTATTTTACCAAGAAGGAGAGTGATGGAGTGCTGCATCAGATGACCTGGCCTCCACAATCCCCCGACCTCAACCCAATTGAGATGGTTTGGGATGACTCGGACGGCAGAGTGAAGGAAAAGCAGCCAACAAGTGCTCAGCAGATGTGGGAACTCCTTCAAGACTGTTGGAAAAGCATTCCAGGTGAAGCTTGTTTAGAGAATGCCACCTGTGTGCAAAGCTGTCATCAAGACAAAGGGTGGCTATTTGAAGAATCTCAAATATAACATACATTTTTATATGTTTAACACTTTTTTGGTTACTACATGATTCATGTTATTTCATAGTTTTGATGTCTTCACTATTACTCTATGATGTAGAAAATAGTAAAAATTTTGAAAAACCCTTGAATGAGTAGGTGTGTCCAAACATTTGACTGGTACTGTACCTTTCACAAACACACACACACACACACACACACACACACACACACACACACACACACACACACACACACAAATGCACACACACACACACAGGTTCAACATGAACGGGTTCACCCAGGCATTGGCTATGATCCACGCTGTAGAGTCGGCCAACAGATCCCCTGTCCTGACTACACTAGGGATCTCTCTGGGGTACCGTATCCATGACTCCTGCTCTGATGTCACCACTGCTCTGAGGGCCTCAGCTGACTTCACACAGGTAAAAGCTCTTTAGCCAAAACGTTGGTCAAATCAATCCACAGCAAGGATAGACGACTGTGTGACCTCTTTTTCATGTGTATAGTTCATCTTCCATTAGCCAGCACCTCATATAAAGGGTGTACATTTTTTACTTCACACAGGAGCCAACCACGGACTGTAGGAGAGGGGCCAACACCTCTACCTGTCCCCCGCCTATCATGGCCGTCATAGGGGCCTCTTCCTCTGAGATTTCCATCTCCGTTGCCCGGCAGCTCAACCTAGAGCTCATTCCTCAGGTAAGCAGTCAAAACCCACCCACAGAGTGACGATTGATGGACAGTAACAAAAGGGTTGATAAAATAATGAATAACTGAGTTGTGTTGAGTTAATGGTGACAGTATTGAGCTACTTGACAGACAGCAATGACAGACAGCAATGATGATACAAATGAATGACAAAATCACTCCAACACAGGACCACTGGAAATTCATTCTCTCTTCGAATCATTACAGATCAGTTACGCCTCCACCGCCGTCATCCTGAGCGACAAGAACCGTTTCCCTACGTTCCTGAGGACCGTACCTAGCGACCTGTACCAGACGCAGGCCATGGTCCAGTTGCTTAGCGACAGCAAATGGACCTGGGTGGGCGTGATCACCACGGATGGAGACTACGGCCGCTCAGCCCTTGACAGCTTCGTCTCCCAGGCAACCGTCTCAGGGATCTGTGTGGCCTTCAAGGAGATCCTCCCTGATTCTCTAACCAGCCCTGACAGTGAATCAGCAGTCAGGCAAGCCGCTGCCACCCTCCGCCGGCACCCCAATGTCAAGGTGGTGGTGTCATTCGCCAAGCCTACTCAAATGATGTACCTATACCAGGAGCTGATTGGTCCGGGGTCGGGGCTGGGGGAGAGGGTGTGGGTGGCCAGTGACAGCTGGTCCTCGTCCAAAGAGGTCCTGGGAAAGATGGACCTCCCAGATATCGGCCATGTGGTGGGCTTCACCTTCAAAAGAGGGGACCTGGCTCCTTTCCATCACTACCTGATGAATCTGAGTGACAGCAATGATGTCATAGGAAACAACTCCTTCCTAAAGGAGTTCTACTCCCTGCCAAACGGGTCGGGAGACCCAGGGGTTGTGTCCTCCTCCACAGGCGCAGCAAAGATCCTGCTAAACAACTGCCATGCGGACATAGTCTTCAGTGTGGAGATGGCTGTCAGTGCCATCGCCCATGCAGTGGCTGATATCTGCAGCAAAAAGGACTGCAAGACAGCAGGCACTGTCCAACCCTGGAAGGTAGCTACTGCACAACTCCTCATGTCAGCACATCAAACTGTACTTATATACTGTATCTCATATAATATACACCGAATATACCAAACATGAGGAACACCTTCCTAATATTGAGTTGCACCTAAGAAAATCCTCTATTTGTTGGGGCATGGACATAGTGTCGAAAGTGGTCTAGAAGGATACTGGCCCATGTTGACTCCAATGCTTCCCACAGTTGTGTCAAGTTGGCTGGATGTCCATTGGGTGGTGGACCATTCTTGATACACACGGGAAACTATTGAGCGTGAAAAACCCAGCAGCGTTGCAGTTCTTGACACCTGGCACATACTGCCATATCCCGTTCAAAGCCACTTAATCGCACACATACACAATCCAAGTCTCAATTGTCTCAGGGTTAAAAATCATTCTTTAACCTATCTCCTCCTCTTCACCTACACTGATTGAAGAGGATTTAACAAGTGACATGGAAATAGCAGGTTTTCTTAATGTTTTGTGTACTCAGTGTATTTTGGATATGGCTTGGGTCTACGATATGTGAACATGCATATGAAAAATGCATTTGCATTTGTTTCAGGTGCTTGAAGCACTGAGGGGCAGTCGGTTTGAGCTGGAGGGGAAAAGCTACAGGTTTGACCCAAAAGGAGACATTAACCTGGGCTATGATGTAACCCTGTGGAGGTCTGTGAGAGGGGTCATCAACATCAGTGACATTATAGCTGAGTACCATCCAATCAACAACAGCTTCAGCTACACCAGCGGACACACCAAAGAAATCACTGACCTGAAGGTAAGGGTTAGGGTTAGGGTTAGGGTTGGGGTTAGGGTTAGGGTTAGGGTTAGGGTTAGGGTTAGGGTGAGGGTAAAGGTTGAGGGTGAGGGTTAGGGTTAAGGTTAGGTCTCACTCTCTTTCAGTCTGTTTGCTAGGCTGCCACACAAAGTACACATCCATATTAACCTATCTGTAGCGATTGATTGACGCAGAGAGTAAATCACGGAATAAATCGTTTAATCAATAACCAGAGGTACGCATCAATGCGTAATACACAACAGTGCAGACAAACGATGCACGGGGGAAAATAAGGCACACGGGTGAACAACACAGCGATACACAATAAATTCGAGCACCACCGAACTATAATCTCCTCTACAATAAACAATCACACAGAAAGACAAGGGGGCAGAGGGAACACTTATACAGGTACTGATGAGGGGATATGGACCAGGCATGTGTAATAAACAAGACAAAACAAATGGAATGATGAGATGAGGATGGCGACGGTGGAAATCCCGCAACAGGGAGGGATCGAGGATATCCCTCACCGGGACCCAGTACCGCTCCTCCGGACCGTACCCCTCCCGCTCCACGAGGTACTGAAGGCCCCCTACCTGATGCCTCGAATCCAGGATGGAACGGACGGAGTACACCGGGGCCACCTCGATGCCTCAGACTCCTGGAGCGGACCAGCCACCACCAGCCTGAGGAGAGACACATAGAACGAGGGGTTAATACGATAATCTGGAGGGAGTAGTAACCTATAGGTAACCTAATTTATTCTCCTCAGGACTTTGAATGGCCCCACAAACCGCAGGCTCAACTTCCGGCAGTGCAGGCAGAGGGGCAGATTCTGGGTCGAGAGCCAGACCCTATCACCCGGTACAAAGACCGGGGCCTCACTGCGGTGGCAGTCAGTGTTGGCCTTCTGGCGATGCACGGCGCGCTGGAGATGGACGTGAGCAGCGTTCCACGTCTCCTCCACGCGCCGAAACCAGTCATCCACCGCAGGAGCTTCGGTCTGGCTCTGATGCCACAGTGCCAGAACCGGCTGATAACCTAAAACAGTTTGAAATGGCGTGAGGTTAGTGGAGGAGTGGCGGAGAGAGTTCTGGGCATATTCGGCCCATGGCCAGAACACCGACCACTCCCCCGGCCGGTCCTGGCAGTAGGACCACAGGAACCTACCCACATCTTGATTCACCTGCCCATTAGACTCGGGGTGAAACCCAGAGGTCAGGCTGACCGAGACCCCCAGACGTTCCATGAAAGCCTTCCAGATCCTGGATGTAAACTGGGGACCCTGTTCAGACACTATGTCCTCTGGAACCCCATAGTGCCGCAATACATGAGTAAACAGGGCCTCCGCAGTCTGCTGGGCCGTGGGGAGAACGGGCAGAGGAAGGAGGCGGCAGGCTTTGGAAAAGCGATCCACAACAACCAGGATGGTGGTGTTACCCTGAGAGAGGGGAAGATCAGTAAGAAAGTCAATACACAAGTGGGACCATGGCCGTTGTGGAACTGATAAGGGATGTAACTTACCCGCTGGGGGGGGCTTAGGTGCCTTACTCTGGGCGCACACTGAGCAGGAGGAGACATACACCCTCACATCCTTAGCCACGGTAGGACACCAGTACTTTCCGGTCAGGCAGCGCACTGTACGGCCAATACCTGGATGACCAGAGGAGTGGGACGTGTGTGCCCAATAGATCAGACGGTCACGGACAAGAGACGGCATGTACTGCAGTCCAGCTGGGCACTGAGGTGGAGATGGCTCTGTGCGGAACGCCCGCTCTATGTCCGCGTCCATCGCCCACACTACCGGCGCCACAATGCAGGAGGCCGGGAGTATGGAGGTGTTGTCTATGGGCCTCTCCTCTGTGTCGTACAGCAGTGACAGTGCGTCTGCCTTCATGTTCTTCGTACCTGGGATGTAAGACAGTGTAAAATCAAACCGGGTGAAGAATAGGGCCCACCTGGCCTGGCAAGTGTTCAGCCTCCTCGCTGCCCGGATGTACTCCAGGTTACGGTGGTCCGTCCAGACAAGGAAAGGGTGTTTTGCCCCCTCGAGCCAGTGCCTCCACACGATCAGGGCTCTGACAACAGCCAACAGCTCCCGATCACCAATGTCGTAGTTCTGCTCCGCCGGGCTGAGCTTCTTGGAGAAGAAGGCACAGGGGCGGAGCATGAGACAGTACAGCGCCTATCCCTACCTCGGACGCATCCACCTCCGCTACGAATGGTAGAGATGGATTGGGATGGGCCAGTACCGGGGATGAGGTGAACAGAACCTTCAGGTTACTGAAGGCCCTGTCAGCCTCAGGAGACCAGCGGAGCCGGGACAGCCCACCCTTCAACAGAGAAGTGATGGGAGTTGCGACCTTGCCAAAGCCTCGGATAAACCTCAGATAGTAGCTGGCAAAGCCAATAAAGTGCTGTACCTCCTTTACCGTGGTTGGAATCGGTCAATTACGCATGGCTGAAATGCGATCTCCCTCCATCTCCAATCCCTGCCCGATGAGGTGGTAATTTGGTCGCCTGCGTTTTGGAAAACGCGTGCGCCAAATCAAGGTATTCGTGGGGAATGCGCATGGTGGAGGTAGTGTCTGGACTTTCCACTATGGTTGCACCAACGGAAACAGCCAGACACCTACCCTGACACTCTCGCGACCACCCTGTGAGAACCTTCTGCGGCCATGAAAAGGTGGGGTTGTGTAGTGCTAACCAGGGAAGACCCAACACGACAGGGAAATCAGGTGACTCAATAATAAAAAAAAGTGACTTGCTCTCAATGGGTGTCTTGTGTAACCATCATGACTGGTGCTGTAACCTCCCTAACGAACCCTGACCCTAATGGTCGACTGTCAAGTGATTGGATGGGTAGTGGAATGGATAGGGGAACCAATGTAATACATAGACTATGTGCTAACGACCTGTCCAGAAAGTTCCCAACTGCGCCTGAATCGACCAGCGCCTTACACTGGGGAACTACCGTGTAATCAGGGAAGTGGATTTGTAGGGTACAGTGCGCAGCAGAGGGCTCTGAATGAGTGTGCGTGTTCCTGCCTGCCGCCTCCAGACCCAAAAGTACACTGATGACAGCGTGCAGTAGAATGTCCTCTCGTGCCACAAGAGTGACAATGGCGCTGTCGTCCTCCGCCGCACCACCCAGCTCCATCATCTTGTGATCCGGGTTGGGGGGGTGAAACGGGCAGGTGTCCTCTAGAAGCCAGCAGATTGTCCAACCGGATGGCCATGTCCACCAGTTAATTGAAGGACAACGTGGTATCCCGGCAGGCTAGCTCCCTTTGGACGTCCTCTCGCAGGTGGCACCGGAAGTGATCGATGAGGGCCCGCTCGCTCCACCCAGACCCAGCCGCTAGAGTCCTGAACTCCAGGGCAAAGTCCTGCGCGGTCCTCGTCCCCTGCCTCAAATGGACCAGCCGCTCTCCCGCCTCTCTCCCTTCGGGAGGGTGATCGAAGACGGCCCAGAAGAGGCGAGCGAACTCCCCGTAGTTGTCCAACGCGGCTCATCCTTCACTCCAGACCGCGTTGGCTCACTCCAGGGCTTTGCCCGAGAGGCAGGAGACGAGGGCGGACACCTTCTCCCGCTCCGAGGGAGCCGGGCTGATGGTGGAGAAATAGAGGTCCAGCTGCAGGAGGAAACCCTGGCAGCGGGCTGCTGTCCCTTCGTACTCCCTCGGTCGGGAAAGGTGAATCCCTCTGGGTGCTGGGGTGTGGGTGGCTGGATCCGGTAGCTCAGCTGGTCCCGAAGGGTCGGGTCCTCTCCCCTCCGGGCGTTGGACGACCTGGAGAACCCGATCCATCGCTTCGCCCAAGCTGGCTAACATATTCGAATGCTCCCGGACCCGGTCCACGACTCCAGACATATTCCCGGTTCCTGCTGACTCCATGTATTCGGGTGTGTGATTCTGTAGCGGGTGAAAATAAGGCACACGGGTGAACAACCCAGCGATACACAATATAATCGAGCTCCACTGAGCTATAATCTCCTCTACAATAAACAATCACACACAAAGACATGGGGGCAGAGGGAACACTTATACAGGTACTGATGAGGGGATATGAATCAGGTGTGTGTAATAAACAAGACAAAACAAATAGAATGATGAGATGAGGAGCGGCAGTGGCTAGAAGGCTGGTGACGACGAACGCCGAAGCCTGCCCGAACAAGGAGAGGAGGCAGCTTCGGAGGAAGTCGTGACACTATCCCACTTGACATAGTGAGACACAAACACAAACATGTCGGTATGTCAAACAATCTACCTTTTCTTCCTCAAAGTGACTAAAGAAAACTAAACATACCTGTTTGAGAGACTTCTCAGACAAACTGGAAAACAAGTAAAGATGGAAATTAAATAATCAGTGAAACAATGAGCATTGTTTGAATATGAAAACCACATACCTTGGCACACACTGGGAGCACCTGTCTGTTATCACACATTTCTGTTAGATCTCAGTGATGCTCTAAAAACAAAACAAAAACAATACTCATAATTACCAGAGCATATAATCCCTGGTTGAATAGTTTGAATACACCAGGTCTATTGAACAAGTCGAGAGCTAGGTTAAACTGTGCCCTGGAAACTGGCCGTACATGTATAGTCTAATTTGAATACTACTATTAATAGATTTCAGTCACAGTTTTTGGGGGTCAGCCATTTAAATTAGTGCATTGTTTCCCAATGCAGGATGTGGTGTCTGTGTGCTCAGCTAGCTGTGAACCTGGGATGTTCAAGAAGACTGCTGAGGGTCAGCACACCTGCTGCTATGAATGTATCAACTGTACTGAGAACCACTTCACCAACAACACTGGTTAGTTCTCCTGTACTGTCTCTCCATACACACCAGTGTACTCTAACTCTCCTCAGTTCACACAATCTTACAACACTGTCCTTATCCAACACTGTTAGTACTAGGGAACAACACATATATTTCTAAATGCTAAACAGTTGTTCAAGCACTATCCTCCCTTCCAACTCTTTGTGTGCCTCTGTCTGCTCTCCAGACATGGACCAGTGTCTGTCTTGTGACACAAAGAGAGAGTGGTCCTTGGAAGGGAGCTCTGGATGTACCCATAAGACCCTGGAGTTCTTCTCCTGGCAGGATGGCTTTGCGGTGGTGCTGCTGGCGCTGGCGGCCCTGGGCATCATCCTAGTTCTCCTGGTGGGGGCGCTCTTCCTACACCACCACCAGACCCCCGTGGTGAAGGCTGCCGGGGGGCCTCTCTCCCAGCTCATCCTGCTCTCCCTAGTGGGAAGTTTTGTTAGCGCTGTGTTCTTCGTAGGTCATCCCAGCAGCCTCCAGTGTAAGGTATGTACGGTACACACAGTTTGGGAAACACTTCTGTAATGCACTGTCTGTGACATTGTCTGATTGTACCAGTGTCAGTTTGTGAATTCATGGTTTATTGTGTGTGTATTGTTCTGAACCTTTTGTAACTTTGTGGCAAGGAAATTAGTTTGTAGACGCAAAGCAAATGTTAATACAAAGAGATAATACAGTTCTGTCTCATTGTCTCATCTCTTCTCATCTCATTGTCAAGGTGCGTCAGGTGCTGTTTGGCCTCAGTTTCACCCTGTGTGTTTCCTGCATCCTGGTCAAGTCCCTGAAGATCCTGCTTGCCTTCCAGCTCAACCCTGATCTGAAGGACGTTCTCCGCCGCCTCTACCAACCCTACGCCATCATTTGTCTCTGTGTGGCCCTACAGGTTCTCACCTGCACCCTGTGGCTGGTCCTGCAGAGCCCCTGGGACAAGGCCACCGTCTTCGCCACCACTGTGCTGGCCGAGTGTGACGAGGGCTCCTACGTGGCGTTTGGTGTGATGCTGGGCTACATTGCTGTCATGGCGCTTGTCTGTTTCGCCTGCGCGTTTAAAGGCCGCAAGCTGCCACAGAAGTACAACGATGCCAGGTTCATCACCTTCAGCATGCTCCTCTACTTGATGTCCTGGGTGATCTTCGTGCCCATCTATGTGACCACCTCAGGGAAGTACCTGCCAGCGGTGGAGATGGTGGTCATCCTCATTTCCAACTACGGCGTCCTCAGCTGTCATTTCTTCCCCAAGTGCTACGTCATCCTCTTCAAGAAGGAGCACAACACCAAGAATGCCTTCATGAAGAACGTGTATGAGTATTCCAGAAAGGGCATTTCTGACTCTAGTGCTGTCTCTGAGACTTCAGTCTCTCAGACAGAAGGGAAGTGCACCAGTCACCCTTACTCCATCAGTTCACCTTCTTTCTTCATGTCTCTTCCACCAATAGAACCCACAGCATCTCAGAACTGCTGGTCCATTATCCAGTACATTGACACTGCCACCCAGTGCACCGTAGTAGACCATGGAGTGTTTGTCACAGGTCAGCTGACTCGACCATACCATCTGAGAAGAAAGAGCCTATGAGTGGACCACTGTCTGGGACTTTTACTTCTTATGGTACATAACACAGTGTGTCTCTATGTTTCTCTCATTGGTTTGACTGTTAAACATTTTGCTTAGTCTACTGGTACGTTTTTTGCCCAAGCGGGTTGTTGATTTTTACATTCAAGGGTAACACTTTATTTGACACTGATATGGACATGACAAACAGGCATAACTTCTGTCATACGGTGTCATATTTATCTATAAATATTTGTATTGGTTACGCATCAATGGTATGCAGGATTGCTTTATTTGTGAACTGCATATAGTGTCTATACACACTTTAGTGTGAAATCATGGGGGATGTTGGTATTTGCTATGGGCATACTGTCATGTCATGTATTGGATCCCTGAATAGGCAGTTTCTGTGCGCAATGTGTACAGTAAACAGCATTTATCTGCGAGCTAATGCAGCAGGATACATATGAGATATTATACAACGGGTGGGTCTAATCCTGAATGCTGATTAGTTAAAACCCCATTCCGCTGTCTCATCAGCCCAGCCAAGCAATTTATAAACATGATCTCCACTATAAAAAGCATCTAGACATTATCTCACATTTCTTTTAGACTAACATTTAGTTTTCAACAGCGGAGATTTGCATAAACCTTGCTGTCTGTCTCCGACATTTGCAACATAGTTTCAATATTGAAATTCGATCTCCAGCTGTCCCATAGTAATGAATGTGTTGGGAGTCGGGATGAGACAGACACACAGGTAGGCAGCGTTTCTCAGCCAGTCAAAATCATGAATCAGCTGGCATCGTTTTTATGGATATATACAAAGAAATGTCAATTGAAAAAAGGTAAAATGAAACGAAGTGCAGCTAGTTTCAGTCTTTCCAGCTTCACTTTGAAGTGATTGTGTTAGCTGTGTTATCTTCTAGCTCCTCTGAACAACATTGTCCTCACGAGTGAGCACATTTTCTATGCCAGATTTGTGTCGGGACTATATCTTGTCGAAGGATGAACACCCGTGCCAATATATGCTCCAAACACCGGCTTCTCAGGCATTATCACTTAATTACATTTCATATTGAAAACATGTCTACGATGAACACTATTGTGGGAATTTTGATCTGTTTCTTAATGCAGGCTAGTGGACGTTATTTACATTATTACATATTTCCAAATACCTTTAAATCTATTTCCACATTATTCATGTATATTATTCATGTATATATCCACATTATTTTCTGTATATTAAAAGTTTGAATGTGCAGTTGACTTTCAGTTGCTGTTTCCATGCTCTACATACACACCCATTAAATTATTTACCCATTTAAGCAGGTGTAACTTCTCTCTCTGTGTCTGTTGACATCTTGACACCGTATCTGCTTCTTCTCACTGTCTGCTCTGTTTGCAGAGCCCACCCGATGAGCACACATTACATTATGCTATCTATTTAGGCTGCAGGCCTTATGCCACAGTGACACGGGAAGAAAGAGAGTGAAAGAGAGTGAGAGTACTGCTGGCATTTTCCCAGTGCCCAAACACATGTCCTTGTAGTACCTGTATGTACACTGAGCTCTTCCCTCCACAGTCTGGAGCCCTGTCCTTCAAAGCTAAAATATCCCGGCCTCTACAGTAGTAGAATATACCATGAATGAACTGTGGGCTGCTTCTCTGCTTCTGAACAGTAGTCTCAAAAACCCTCCCCTAAGCAACAGCAGAGACTACCCAGCTAGCACATAACGTTCTGAGAACCATATGTTTCTTAGAGCTTGGGAACTTTTTGGGAATGGTGCAGGATAGTTCCTTGGCTTTGGAACATTCTCAGCACATTGAAGGAACTTGACAAAAAAATAATTCGTTACTTTAACAGAACATTTCCTAAAAGTTCAATTTTAGTACTTCAGCATTATGTTTCCTACAGGCAAGGCCAGTTCCAGGCATAAGCAAAAAACAAACATTTTTAGGAACAGTCAGGGTCTCAACTTACTATTGAGAGTAAGAATAGTAAAATACACCAGGTGCAATTTCGACATTTTGTTGTGCATCAGCAGTTTGAGATGTCAGTCACTGATAGTCACTCAATTAGCCATGTCAGCTAACCATTTTTTAATTGGTAGTTAGTCTAGCCAGCTATCTAAGCTATATAAGCTATCCCGACCGGATATGCAGGGCAAGTGCCCAGGGGCCCTGACCCCAGGGGGCCCCCATTGATTTTGTTAGTCATTCTCACTCAGATATCATATTAACATGGCATAAGTCATTACAAAATGTCAGGAATTTTGCCCCATGGCAAAATGTGTAGAGTTGCAGAAAATGTGCTTTAAAGGTCCAATGCAGAAATTTTTATCTCAATATCAAATCATTTCTAGGTAACAATTAAATACCTTACTGTGATTGTTTTCAATTAAAATGGTCAAAAATAAACAAAAATAGCAAAGAGCAATTTCTCAAGCAAGAATTTTGATAGGACGGTCTGGGAGTGGTTTGAGTGGGGAGGGGAAAACTGAAACTCTCTTAGTTATTGGTTTATCAACTAATTTACCGCATGGTAATGTCACCATGGAAGGCCAAAACTCCATCCCACCAAAACAGGCTGAAATGTCAGGCGGTCTTTTCAAACAGCTCTTACACTAAAAGGGCATTATCATCATGTTCACAATTTCACATTATTATTCCAACCTCATAGTGTGGAAATATATATAAAACACAGGAAAATTATGTTTTTGACTACACTGGGCATTTAAAACTGCACAATTTTCTCTACGCCCCATGGCATAATGTGTAGAATTGCAAGAAATGAACTTTAAAACGTACATTTTTCTCTCCACTGTCAAGAGGGGGGCCACTAAAATGATTTGCCGCGAGGTGGGGAGGCCCGCCAACCAAATCTCGCTTAGGGCCACCATGGTTCTATTTTAAGTCATGTTCTCAAATTGTTCCAAGAATATTAAGAAACAGCGTTCTTCTGTGGGAATTTCAGCACTTCAGCATTATGTTTCCTACAGGATTCCTCATGGTTCTATTTAAAGTCATGTTCTCACATGTTTCATAAAAAACACAAGTAAGCTTTAGTAACGTTCAGAGAACGTTCTAAGAATGTTATTTAAAAACCTACAGTGGCTTGCGAAAGTATTCACCACCCTTGGCATTTTTCCTATTTTGTTGCCTTACAACCTGGAATTAAAATTGATATTTTGGGGGATGGATCATTTGATTTACACAACATGCCTACCACTTTGAAGATGCAAAATATTTTTGATTGTGAAATAAACAAGAAATATGACAAAATAACAGAAAACTTGAGCGTGCATAACTATTCACCCCCCACCCCCCCCACCACCCCCAAAGTCAATACTTGTAGAGCCACCTTTTGCAGCAATTACAGCTGCAAGTCTCTTGGGGTATGTCTCTATAAGCTTGGCACATCTAGCCACTGGGACTTTAGCCAATTATTCAAGGCAAAACTGCTCCAGCTCCTTCAAGTTGGATGGGTTCCGCTGGTGTACAGCAATCTTTAAGTCATACCACAGATTCTCAATTGGATTGAGGTCTGGACTTTGACTAGGCCATTCCAAGACATTTAAATGTTTCCCCTTAAACCACTCAAGTGTTGCTTTAGCAGTACGCTTAGGGTCATTGTCCTGCTGGAAGGTGAACCTCCGTCCCAGTCTCAAAATTCTGGAAGACTGAAACAGGTTTCCTTCAAGAATTTCCCAGTATTTAGCGCCATCCATCATTCCTTCAATTCTAAACAGTTTCCCAGTCCCTGCCGATGAAAAATATCCCCATAGCATGATGCTGCCACCACCATGCTTCACTGTGGGGATGGTGTTATCGGGGTGATGAGAGGTGTTGGGTTTGCGCCAGACATACCGTTTTCCTTGATGGCCAAAAAGCTCAATTTTAGTATCATCTGACCAGTGTACCTTCTTCCATATGTTTGGGGAGTCTCCCACATGCCTTTTGGGGAACACCAAACGTGTTTGCTTATTTTTTTCTTTATGCAATGGCTTTTTTCTGGCCACTCTTCCGTAAAGCCCAGCTCTGTGGAGTGTATGGCTTAAAGTGGACAGATGGACAGATACTCCAATCTCCGCTGTGGAGCATTGCAGCTCCTTCAGGGTTATCTTTGGTCTCTTTGTTGCCTCTCTGATGAATGCCCTCCTTGCCTGGTCCGTGAGTCTTGGTGGACGGCCCTCTCTTGGCAGGTTTGTTTTGGTGCCATATTCTTTCCATTTTTTAATAATGGATTTAATGGTGCTCCGTGGGATGTTCAAAGTTTCTGATATTTTTTTATAACCCAACTCTGATCTGTACTTCTCCACAACTTTGTCCCTGACCTGTTTGGAGAGCTCCTTGGTCTTCATGGTGCCACATGCTTGGTGGTGCCCCTTGCTTAGTGGTGTTGCAGACTCTGGGGCCTTTCAGAACAGGTGTATATATACTGAGATCATGTGAAAGATCATGTGACACTTAGATTGCACACAGGTGGACTTTATTTAACTAATTATGTGACTTCTGAAGGTAATTGGCTTCATAGCAAAGGGGGTGAATACATATGCACTTATCACTTTTCCGTTATTTATTTTTTATACTTTTTTTAAACAAGTTATTTTTTTCATTTCCCTTCACCAATTTGGACTATTTTGTGTATGTCCATTACATGAAAACCAAATAAAAATCCATTTAAATTACAGGTTGTAATGCAACAAAATAGGAAAAACGCCAAAGGCGATGAATACTTTTGCAATGTACTGTATATATTCCGTTCTCAGCATCAACAAAACACTCTCTATCCTCTATCTTGTTAGGTGTGTTCAGATGTGTTGGCTGCACCCACTAATTGGCCACACCTGATGTTAATGAGGGATTGTTTCCTTTGAAATGGGGCCAGTTTGAATAGACTAAAATCAACAGCTTTGTATGAATAAAGAACATGGCATGCTAGATCCATGCTGGTGGCATAGTGAACTAATTCCATGGATAGAGAACAGAAGGTTTGAATCTCACTGATGCCATGTCACAATAAACAAAGAAATTAATTTGCATTATTAATAATATGCCATTTAGCAGACGCTTTTATCCAAAGCGACTTACAGTCATGTGTGCATACATTTTTACGTATGGGTGGTCCCGGGGATCGAACCCACTACCCTGGCATTACAAGCGCCATGCTCTACCAATTAAGCTACAGAGGACCATGCCTAGAGAAATTATTTTTTGTATGTCCTATCTGTGCTAGCAGTGTTAAGCTAGCAGTGTTATTAAAAGTGTTTTTGAAATATTCATTGACATTTTAAAGAAGTTATTCAAAAACCTCAAAATAAGCTATAATTTACATTCTCAGAAAATTAATAAAACCTCCCAGGAAACTTTCAGGGAACCATAGTAAAATTTTCTCAAAACCTCCCTGCAACCTAAAAATGTAAGTTCCCAGAGCAGGTGAAATTTCCACTCCCGTTCTCAGAATGTACAAAAAAACATTACGTTTCACCAGTCAGGAAACTCATGGCTTCGTTCCAGAACCAATGGGAAACCAAAAACATACGTTACCACAACTTCTAAGGACCCAAATGTGCTAGCTGGGTAGGGTCTGGTTTCAATTACTCTTTTGGCAACTTTGATTAAAAAAAAAAAAAAAAAATGGGGTGGGTCCTCTTCAGACAGACAACTCTCCCAACACTCACAAGGCAGGCATAACAGAACGTTACGTTTCGAAACCAAAGTTTGCAGGTGTAACCTTTGCAGTGGTTTTAGCCACTTTCCAAATGCACTCATTAAAAATAATGTCAATGATCTCCATCATGCTAGCTACTATTTTGTATTTTATTGAAGTGGATAAGGTAGTGACGTAGTTCCTGCATGACAAATGACTAGAACCTAGGGTCGGGTTTTCGAGACTAGATGAACAGCATCTCTGCTCTATATCACTATGTCTTTGTGGTAAAGAAGCAGTTTGTAGACCGGAGAGCACATTTCTGTGTAAACGGATAGGTCTAAATCGTAACTTGACATCCATGCTTGTAACTCAAGAATTCCCTAAAATCTTCCATTGACATCAATGCATTATTAACAAGAAAGTTTGAGTTAAGTGCACACATCTGAAGTTAGAAGTTTTTTTCAGTAACTCCAGTAAACTTCCACTCCTGTCCCTAACATTGTCACCAGACTTATCAATCATTTCAGGCTGATGTTAACTTTGGTCATGTTCAGAGCATCAAAACCGTGTATCATGGGTAAATTGTAACTGACTGACTGATATATTAATAATAATCATGAGTAGTTATTTATGATGCAACGTGATTTGTAGATCAGTCAGTCTTGGCTCGCCTTCAAATTCGGCAG